GAGATTTTGAAGAAAAAATGTGCACATAAAAATACAAATTTTATATTTTTTTAATTTAAAATTATAAATTTTTTAATTTTTTAAATTAAGATATAAGCTTGAATTCTTTTTAAAATAATGATACAAAATTTACGTGCTTTTTTATTTAAAAATTTATTGAATGATGATGATTATATGTGGCAAATGATCATTTTAATAAAACATAACAAAGTTTGTGTTCTTAAATAATAAAAAATTAAAATTTATTGTCTGATTTAGAAGTTAAAATTTTTGTATCCTTAGCTGAACATTTTCTTAGAGATTTTGTATAAAAAAGAACATAACTTTTTAAAATGTCTCTAATTAAGAATATAACATTGCTTTCTTTACTAATCAAGACCATCACTTTTCAAAAAATTCTAATCCGGAATATAATCTTTGCAATTTTATTAAAAGAGAATTAATTAAGTAGATATACATGGTTATAACCCTAATTGGAAACTTTTTAAAGTGGTAGTTTTGATTAGTAAAATCACAAAGATCATATCCTTAATTATTAAAATGAATTCTTATACTTTTTCTTAAAATAAATCTTTGCTCATAATTTTTTGATTAAATGAAATTAACACTCTTATATTTTTGTTGAAATCAATTAACTAAAATTTAATAGATAATGTAATCATATGTCATCATTCCATTTTCCACTTTCAATACTTGATAAGTTTTTGTTGATTTGATAATCTTGGGTCTATTTTTCTATGATAGGTCATTTTCTTTACAGGAAGTGAAATGAGATTGGTTAACTCTTTCTTGGTAGCCATCTTAGTACCTAGTTTGATATCAAGAAAAAAAATGACATGTCATTAGGAAAATATGCTCAAGATTGCTTAATTAACAAGAGCTTAATAAGTATTGAAAGGGAAAATCAAAATGATAATTCATGATTATGTTATTTGTTAAATTTTAATTAATTTATTTCACTTGAAATATGAAAAAAAAAAATTATTCAGCTTAAATATGAGGGATTTATTAAAAAAAGGTGTTGGTTTCATTTCAATAATTACTCAAAAGCATAACCCCCTCAGAAACCCCTCTGATTCTTTATCTTTAAGATTATTAACCCCTTAACATACACTTTGTATATTTTAGTAATAAACTTTATGTTATTGTTGTAATTGGTTTAAAATTCAAGAAATCCAATCATGCAAGTCAAGTGGTCACCTCTACTCTGTTATCTTATTATTGTTAGTATTATGCTGGTACAAATATATATGGCTCACTTGAACCCATGGAGGAGAAAAAAATCCCGCTCAAATTAAGATTCGTGTGCTTTGAGTAGGACTTTTTCGCCTTCATGGGTCCAAGTGGAGCATATTTATATTGATATGGCACTAACAAGAATAGAATAATGGAGTAGAAACAATAGTTACATGACTTACATGATAGAATTCTGTTTATTTTAAATCAATTATAACAATAACATGAAGTTTATGGGTTAAAACAAATAAAATGTATATTGAGAAACTAATAGTCCTAAAGACAAAGAGTTAAAGGAGTTCCAGGGTTAAACCTTACTAAAAGTAATGTAAAAATCCCATCTTCGCCTTACTTTATACCTAGTTAGTTTAATCCACGCGTGGGCGATGTTCTAACCAACCACAAATAATCAAATTCCGGCACCAGAAACCAATAAACCAAACGTTCATATTTCATACTTGATGAAGATATTATGCTACCAAACCAAAGTTGTTCAAGGCTTATAAACACTAGAGCTATGTAGCGAACTAGGAGCTAATTATCATTATTTATTTGAAAATTACTAATTAATTATTCTATCTAGTCAGATTTAGTTGTTTCACTTTCTAAGTAAAAATAGTTTGATTTAGTTGTTTCACTTTTTATGTTAATAATCCATTAAATGTTATAATTTTAATTTTACCTTTATCTCAAAAAAGATGGAAATGCCTTTGATTTTCTCATTTAATTATAAGTAAGGATGAAAATGGAAAGACAAATCCTAATTATTATAATAAATAAATTTTTTGATAATTGTAAGTGGATAAAATAAGACAATTAAATCTAAACAGATGAAATATTATTAAATTTATTTTTTCATGGTATATTTGATTTTTTTGACCATCTTCATAATATATCTATTGATGAGTTAGACAATATAAACTAACTCTCCACTTTTCTCCATTTATCTTCTCCGCACTTTAAATTTATAGATGATATATTGCTTTTGCATTCACTTTAATGAGTCTAATCCGTCAACCATACGGTTACCGACCAATTCCCCAACTGACGTGGAATATGGTTGGGAGTAGCTAGGGACAAATGAGAAAACCTTGTTGTCTAGCTTTTTTATGGTGTTTGGCACCGGCACAATCTCGGATATGTGTCCGGATTGTGCCAATCCAGCATCGCCTGTATGTGTTTTAGAAAGGACGTCTTTGAAGAACTGAGAACTCAAATCTACAGGCTAAAGGTTGCCCTTCTGGGAAAATTGGTTATTCTTACCGGTTATGCTACTTGGAATCGGTTATTTGTACGCTTATTATAATTCGTTACAAACTCTATCCAATTTTTTTTTTAAAAATTGTATAATAAAAAAATTATTTTTCTATTTTTTAAATAAAAAGAAAATAGGAATCAATGTATTAAAGGACATGTTAAAAGAAAAAAATAAATAAATAACTAGATTTTAACATCTTAATTTATAAATTAAGTAGAACACAAAAAGTATATTAAAAGTTAATTAATATGTAGTAACATAAAAGTTTGAACGCTTGAATTTAATCCTAATTAAAATTTTATAATCAATATGAATACAAAACTCTCGACTAAGGTTTATTGATTTTTTTGCTTTGGCTAATTTAGTAAGTATTGTGAATTATGTAGTATGTACACATCAATTTCATTTCTTTCTACTTTGCTTGAGATTAATGATCAACGTCTATGAAATTGAGATGTGCAAAAGGCTTGCCTTTTGGAGGGGAATCTATGATATGGAGATGAAAAAGGGAATTAAGCGGCCTAAGGAAAAAATTGTAGAGACGGTAGAGCAGATATAGGCGGTT